GGATCTCCACCGTATTGTTGCTCTCTAGACACCCCATACTATCATGACATGACACCCTGGCTCCTCCTCTGGGTGCAGATAGGACCCTCCCCCGAGGACCTCTACCATGACTCCACCCCAAAATGGTTCCCCCACACAATTAGGCCCCATTGATTGACTCCTCCCCCTAAACACATACATGGCTCCTCCCTCTGAAGAACCCCTCCCCGCCCGCAGTAAGTCAAGTCCCGCCCATCTGTGGGTCACCTGTGCCGGTTGGGGTGTCCCGGTTATCGGAGCTCCGGCCTTGACAGTCTCTTCCTGCTTCCCCCCGAGTCGTTCGCCCCGCCCTCCATACCATCTTCCCGCCCACAGCCTTCTATTAGACGTACGCCTTTAGCAACGCCCCCCAGACTCTTTCTTCCTCTCGCCCATTTGCTATCTCCCTGTCAGTCACGTCCTGGCACCGCCCTACTCGCGGTAATATTCTGCAGTCAGCAGAAGCGTCTACCACGCCCATCGTCTTCCTCCTGATTGGTAGAACGCTTGATCTGCTACACCCACTGGTTAGAACAACTTTCAGTCATGTCTTAACTCCGCCCTTTCCTGCACCACGTGACGCTAAAACTCGTCTGAACTCTCTCCGAATAAACTTTATTTACAGTTCTTCGGGCGGACACTTCTGGCTGCCATTCTCGCTTCTCTACCCGGGGGCTGCCATATCAGGCTGAGCCGGTGTGTGGGAGGTCCGAGCTGTCCAGATGGGGATATGGGGGCCGCCATTGCTCAGCAGGCTTTTAAAGGTGCAAGCTCCAGGGCTGTCATTCTAATCCTTCCCTCACTGCCGGGTGCATAAGCGATAAGTGTGCAGGACGGAAATAAAGACTGGCTGATACTTGTTCCAGACAAGTCATTCATGTGAAGCATGATGATGACACAACAGGCTTGAGCAAGGCACTCTATGATCAGATCCCCCCCCCCAAGCAGTCAGCACAATAGGAGGACGGAGTCATGTGACGAGGGACGGGACGTGTCCCCTCCCTCTCATTCTGACATCACATGACTGACATTAGTAAACAGTAGTCGGAGTTGATTACCTGACACTCCCCCTCACTTCCTGTCTATGTGACAACCTATGTATCTGAATGTGACAAGTAGTAATCGGGACAGGAAGTGAGTGGGAAACAAGCACAGCAATAAAACGTCGCAAACTGCGTCTGCCCCACATCCTGATACCCCATCCATGTCAGCTCAACCAATGCAGGAAACAATCTTGAGGTATCATTGTTTGTGTTCTTCAGTACAGGTTGGGAGGGGGCGTGGGCATACAGCAGCTGCCATTTCAATGTACACACGTGTCCGCCAGTCAAAGGGGGAGGGGTGAGACCCTTTGTCTCCAGGTTGTGGATGGCTATGGGCCAAGGTGTTTATTTTACACTGGTCGATGGAGTTCCCCTTTAAGCGCTGTCAACCCTCTAAACATGGGGGTGTCAGATGGCTATATAATGACCTTCAATCCCCCGGCAGTGGGGTGGCTTGGCTCTCAGTGCCCACACCCGCCATATTGGCCCTGACTTGGTGTGCTCTCTGTTTCCGTCTCCGCGGGATAAAGTTGCGCAGGGAATGTTTGGCGCAGCGACCGCGCTCCTCCGTACAATGGCGCGATTATCTGGATATGGCGGGGGGATCCGGCAGACAGTGACGGGGCGGCCCCAAACACTGAGGGCCCATTCATCCCCCGCACAGAGGCCCCTTGTGTGGATGACAGGATGTCCTCAGGTATCAGGTGACGGTCAGCTGGCAGGGCGCTCCGCCATTGTCCATCTTGGGAACAGAATGAGGATGGGGGGGAGGGGACACCTGAGAACAGCACCGTACAATCATCTCCAATCATCTCCAGGGACGCCGGCTCCTTCCTGGGACACTCTGTGTCTGGTTTGTTTCAGGTTTCACTTTGGGGGGTGAATTTGTTTTTGTTTTGCACCCCTCATGTGATCTGGAGACAGAATCTGATGGGGACACCACCTGGGATCCAAGGACAGAATTTACCGGGGACACTGTCTGGGATCCAGAGACAGAATTCACCGGGGACACCGCCTGGGATCCAAGGACAGAATCCTCCATGGACACTGCATTGCATCCATGGACAGAATCCGCTGGGGACCCCACTAGGGGCCAAGGGACAGAACCCGCCAACGGCACCACCTAGGCTCCAAGGACAAAACTTTTCTGGGACACCCCCTGGAATCCAGAGACAGAACCCTCCTGGGACACCACCTGGGATCCGGGGACACTGTCTGGGATCCAAGGACAGAATCCTCTGGAGACACCACCTAGGATCCGAGGACTGAATCCACTGGGGACACCACCACCTAGGATCTGAGGACTGAATCCTCTGGGGACACCACCACCTAGGATCCGAGGACTGAATCCTCTGGGGTCACCACCACCTAGGATCCAAGGACAGAATCCTCTGGAGACACCACCTAGGATCCAAGGACTGAATCTTCTGGAGACACCACCTAGGATCCGAGGACTGAATCCTCTGGTGACACCACCACCTAGGATCCAAGGACTGAATCCTCTGGGGACACCACCTAGGATCCGAGGACTGAATCCTCTGGGGACACCACCTAGGATCCGAGGACTGAATCCTCTGGGAACACCACCTAGGATCCGAGGACTGAATCCTCTGGGAACACCACCTAGGATCCGAGGACTGAATCCTCTGGGGACACCACCTAGGATTCAGGGACACCGCCAAGGGTCCAGAGATAGCTTTGTATGAAATATATAAAGACCTGTACCTGTCACTCACCTGAGAGCTGGCCCCGCCTCTGTCACTCCCCTTCTGCTTGGTCTAGCTTCTCCACTTGTTACCTGGCCCCTCCCCTTTTATCAGAGGCTGGCTCTCTATTGGACAGGTGGTGTGGGGAGGGGGGGTATATCTATATAAACACTCCGCAGACCCTCCACCATCACATCCACAAATCTGTCTCCACCAGCGCAGGGGGCACCAAAATGTCAGCCGAAGAGAAGACTCCGGAAACATGGAGCCCCAGAGTGCAGCTGAAGAGCCCACCCTACGTGAGTACCGGCATGCTGAACCATCGGGGGAGATGTAGGGATCGGGTAGGGAGAGTAGAATCCTTACCACCGGGATCAGCCGGTCACATGGTACACTCTGTACCCAATCCTATAGAAACATTGGGGCTTGTGGGTTCAGATGAGGACCAATCATTACACAATGATGGGGGTTGTTGTGGTGTGACTACAATTCTGTGCAGTTGGTGGGATTGTACAATCAGTATGTGGACCCATCGTGTTATAAAACCCTCATGAGATTGGACGATCTGTTCATAGTCGTCTATGGCCCATTCCACCCAAATATCCGACCTTCACCATCGGGAATGTGGATATTTTATGGGCATTGTGTATCCAGTTTCCTCTCCCAAAATGTATACTCCTCCATGTCCCCCTATGGATCCTCCATGTCCTCCTATGATCTCTCGCTGGATCCTCCATGTCCTCCTATGTCCTCTCTATGGATCCTCCATGTCCTCCTATGATCTCTCGCTGGATCCTCCATGTCCTCCTATGTCCTCTCTCTGGATCCCCCATGTCCTCCTATGTCCTCTCTCTGGATCCTCCATGTCCTCCTATGTCCTCTCTCTGGATCCTCCATGTCCTCTCTCTGGATCCTCCATGTCCTCCTATGTCCTCTCTCTGGATCCTCCATGTCCTCCTATGATCTCTCTGTGGATCCTCCATGTCCTCCTATGATCTCTCTGTGGATCCTCCATGTCCTCCTATGATCTCTCTCCGGATCCCCATGTCCTCCTATGTCCTCTCTCTGGATCCCCCATGTCCTCCTATGTCCTCTCTCTGGATCCTCCATGTCCTCCTATGTCCTCTCTCTGGATCCTCCATGTCCTCCTATGATCTCTCTGTGGATCCTCCATGTCCTCCTATGACCTCTCTCCGGATCCCCCATGCCCTCCTATGACCTCTCTCCGGATCCCCCATGCCCTCCTATGATCTCTCGCTGGATCCTCCTGTGTCCTCTCTCTGGATCCTCCATGTCCTCTCTCTGGATCCCCCATGTCCTCCTATGTCCTCTCTCTGGATCCTCCATGTCCTCCTATGTCCTCTCTCTGTATCCTCCATGTCCTCCTATGTCCTCTCTCTGGATCCTCCATGTCCTCCTATGATCTCTCTGTGGATCCTCCATGTCCTCCTATGACCTCTCTCCGGATCCCCCATGCCCTCCTATGACCTCTCTCCGGATCCCCCATGCCCTCCTATGATCTCTCGCTGGATCCTCCTGTGTCCTCTCTCTGGATCCTCCATGTCCTCTCTCTGGATCCCCCATGTCCTCCTATGTCCTCTCTCTGGATCCTCCATGTCCTCCTATGTCCTCTCTCTGTATCCTCCATGTCCTCCTATGTCCTCTCTCTGGATCCTCCATGTCCTCCTATGATCTCTCTCTGAATCCCCCATGTCCTCCTATGATCTCTCTCTGAATCCCCCATGTCCTCCTATGATCTCTCTCTGAATCCCCCATGTCCTCCTATGATCTCTCTCTGAATCCCCCATGTCCTCCTATGATCTCTCTCTGAATCCCCCATGTCCTCCTATGATCTCTCTCTGAATCCCCCATGTCCTCCTATGATCTCTCTCTGAATCCCCCATGTCCTCCTATGATCTCTCTCTGAATCCCCCATGTCCTCCTATGATCTCTCTCTGAATCCCCCATGTCCTCCTATGATCTCTCTCTGAATCCCCCATGTCCTCCTATGATCTCTCTCTGAATCCCCCATGTCCTCCTATGATCTCTCTCTGAATCCCCCATGTCCTCCTATGATCTCTCTCTGAATCCCCCATGTCCTCCTATGATCTCTCTCTGAATCCCCCATGTCCTCCTATGATCTCTCTCTGAATCCCCCATGTCCTCCTATGATCTCTCTCTGAATCCCCCATGTCCTCCTATGATCTCTCTCTGAATCCCCCATGTCCTCCTATGATCTCTCTCTGAATCCCCCATGTCCTCCTATGATCTCTCTCTGAATCCCCCATGTCCTCCTATGATCTCTCTCCGGATCCCCCCCGTGTCCTCCTTATCTGACAACTCTGATTTTTCCCAGGAACTTCTGCACTTCCATCACATTTTCTTTTTTCTAGAACCCAATACGTTCCTTGCTTCTGCAGCTGCCACCTGACTCTGAGTAGTTCTGCCCTCACATGTAATAGGAATAGGGAATTCTGGGATCTGTTGTCCCCCTGCTGACTCCGCCTAGCATCTTCCTCACTCATTCTGTATTTTTTCAGCCGTTTCCGACCGGTCTGGATTTCCCAGCCCCTCCTCCTCCCCCCTCTGGACGCAAGCTGCTGATAATGACGGTGGGAGCGGTGACGGCCCTCGCAATCAGCGTCCTGGGAGTTCTGCTGGCCACCTACCTGGGGCGGGCGCACTGCAGCCAGGTGAGTCCCAGAGCTGGGAATTCTCATCCCTCACCACTAGGGGCGCTGTTCAGGAATGCATATCTGAAGGGACGCCACAAATAAATACATTGTAAAGTGCTTGTAAGACTTCCTCTCCGTTCCATGGATGGTGGGAGCCATTTATTAAATATGTGGATTATTAATGTCACCCTGTTGATTTTTCTGTAGAGGGACATGTCAACCTTTTTGCCGCCACAGCTGAATGTGCAGAATGAGGCATCCCTCCTGCTGGCGTTCAGCGAGCTCAGCGATCAAGGCTCCTCCCCCGGCATCACCTGTGACCTTAAAAATGTGAGTAATGGTGATGCAGACCGCATCTGGGAGCTGACTCTATCTGCGGCCTCTCACCTTGGGGCGGGGCGGTCCACCATAAAAACTTTACTGAGGCCCCTTTGTATTGAACTCTGGGCACAAAAACCTGGAGAATTGAGTTCACCCCAACACACAAAATATCCAAATAAAAAGGCCAATGAAATGTGTGCGAATCGATGAGAGTTCCTGAATTTGATTCTCGTGGATTATGGCGGTACAGACGGACAGCTATGGGGACTCGCACCATAAACACAGCATCAAATCGCCCCAAATGATAAACATATATGACAGGAAGGGGCGCAGACTGACCCCATCTCTGCTTTCCCCACTTCCCTCTCCAGATCTCCTAAGTGATCAGGTTCTCTTTTGTCCCTTCTCTGGATCCTCCATGTCCTCCTATGTCCCCTTTATGGATCCTCCATGTCCTCCTTTGTCCCACCTCTCAATCCCCCATATCCTCCTTTGTTCCCTCTCTAGATCCTCCATGTCCTCCTATGTCCCCTTTATGGATCCTCCATGTCCTCCTTTGTCCCACCTCTCAATCCCCCATATCCTCCTTTGTTCCCTCTCTAGATCCTCCATGTCCTCCTATGTCCCCTTTATGGATCCGCCATGTCCTCCTATGTCCCCTTTATGGATCCCCCATGTTCTCCTTTGTCCCACCTCCCAATCCCCCATATCCTCCTATGTCCCATTTATGGATCCCCCATGTTCTCCTATGTCCCCTTTATGGATCCCCCATGTTCTCCTTTGTCCCACCTCCCAATCCCCCATATCCTCCTTTGTTCCCTCTCTAGATCCCCCATGTCCTCCTGTGTCCTGTCACCCGATTACCCATGTCCTCCTATGTCTTTGCTCTGGATCCCCCATGTCCTCTCTCTGGACCCACAATGTCTCCTCTGCAGACCCCCCTCTATGTATCCCCTATGTCCTCCTATGCCCCTCCCCTCCCAATCCTCCATGTTCTCTCTCTGGATTTCCCATGTGCTCCTATGTCTCTGCTTTGGATCCCCCATGTCCTCCTTTGTCCCCTCCTCGGATTCCCCATGTTCCTTCTACGGATCCCCTATCTCACCCTTTGTCCCCTCCCCAGATTCCCCATGTCCTCTTATGTCCCCTCCTTGGATCCCCCATGTTCCCTCTCTACGGATCCCCCATGTTCCCTCTCTACGGATCCCCCATGTCCTCCTATGTCCCTGCTTCCGATCCTCCATGTCCTCCTGTGTCCCCTCTCCGGATCTCCTATGTTCCCTCTCCAGATCCTCCATGTCCTCCTGTGTCCTGTCACCAGATCTCCCATGACCTCCTTTGTGCTCTTTCAGGATCCCCCACATCCTGCTATTTCCCCTTCTTGGATTCCCCATGATCCCTTTCCAGATCCCCTTTCTCAGCCTTTGTCCCCTCACCAGATCCCCCATGTCCTCCTATGCCCCATATCCTACTATGCCCCCTCACCAGATGCC